CAGCCACGTGTCTGTGTGTGCTCCTGTGGCAGCCACGTGTCTATGTGCAATCCTGTGGTAGCCACGTGCCTGCATGTGCTCCTGTGGCACCCACGTGCCTGCGTGTGCTCCTGTGGCAGCCACGTGCCTGTGTGTGCTCCTGTGGCAGCCATGTGCCTGTGTGTGCTCCTGTGGCAGCCACGTGCCTGTGTGTGCTCCTGTGGCAGCCATGTGCCTGCGTGTGCTCCTGTGGCAACCACGTGCCTGTGTGTGCTCCTGTGGAAGCCACGTGTCTGCGTGTGCTCCTGTGGAAGCCACGTGCCTGGCTGTGCTCCTGTGGCAGCCACGTGCCTGTGTGTGCTTCCCCAGGCAAGTGCTTCCAGGACGACAGCTGTCCCTGGGTGCTTATCTCTGCCATGTGGATGTTGAATAGCTGTGTTGCTTTACAATGTCACCCACACTGGTGTCTTTAAGGCTTATATAATTATGTTTTCTTTCTTTTAATCCATCAAAGTAAACGAGCTATGGGATGTAAGGGACTTTGGTAGGCAGTAAGGTGCTGAAAGGTTGCTGTGAAATAATGACTTGATCTTTAATCGTTCGCTAGAATGAAATGATCAATAGAGCGTCAAGGCCAAAATTTTTAAAAAAAGAGAGGTGAGGCAGGGATTTCAGTTTTTTTCTTTGATGAGAAAGGAAGCAAAATGCAGTCCTTTAGGCACTGATGGAAACTAACATTGTAAGTTCTTAGGAGGGAGCCGTCCCCAAATGACTGTCGTTGCAACCATTGGAAACAGCTATTTTGAGTGAGTTTACCTCTGATCCCTCTCAGGAAATATTAGCTTCGTCTCCACAGGGCACCACAACAGCACCGTCACCACTCGGATGAAATAAACAGACTCAAGACTGTGGATTTGGCTTTACTACATTTGTATTTCCTATTGTTTCACAGATTAGAGTGATTCCACATATTAACAAAGAAAGGTGATGGAGATCATATGCAAACAAGAAATGGTTTGACAAATAGAGATATGGATTTGTAGACCATGAGAGCACATCATTAAAGCTGATACGGGATGCTTCGGCTCAGCGGTGACAGGGTGTACATAGCGGTTAGTGTGAGATTTCCAACTCGCACCCCATAGCAGCTCAACCGTGAAGAACGTGAGTCACTGTTCCGCTAAAGGCAAATCCAAGTTTAAGACCATGTTAAAATCAGAGGAAAGCAAGGACACTTGTGTCACAGTATAGCGATCAGACACAGAGCGATATATGGCAGGAGACCGAGGCACGATCCAGACGCTGGTTAGAGCACACAGCCAGGCCTTGCCAGGTGTGGGACTGTTTGCTTGCAAAATCCGCGTGTGACTTGGGATTTTAATCTTCATAACAGTCCCTTGAATTCCATTAAGTGGTATTTTGGAGTGGGTCCTTTTGGAATCCAGCAGTCTGTTTACCAAAACGTTCTTTTTGTAACTTACAATTCCATGACACCCTACAGAAATAATTCTTCAAAAATAGATCCAAGTTGGCTGTTACCCTGCCTTCCTCTCCTGGCTGCTATTTTACACTCTGGCGGCGCACAAACACAGCTTCCTCTTGTGATCTGGAAGTTTGTTTTTGTAAAAAGTCCCTGGTACAGTCATACTTCCTGCAGTGATTTGTTTTAATACAACATCCTCACTCTTAAGATTTGATTGCAGATGAAAAATATAGTTAAATTACAGTGAATGAAAAACAAAAGCATTTCTTTGAACTCCTCTCCAAACACCTTCTTGGAAGCTCTTTACTTTGTAAACAATATGAAGGACATTTGCAATAGTGGCAATAGTAGTTACAATAAGCCAAAGAGATCACATTTCTTAGCTCAGAGTCAACAACTTCTGACTTTTTTTTAGGAAATAGGTACTCTATAATCAATTGTAATAGCTCCATTGGAGTCTAATTTTGAGGGGCTTCTACCCTTCACTTGAGTATTTTTGGATATCTTAAGGGAATGGGAAGGCTTGATACTAGATAAGATTTGACCTCAGATAAAGATCACAGTGAAGCACTACATCATGAAATGAGAGTTGCTAAGCAACAACCTTGGTGATGGACTTTCAGGGTGACTCCTTCATCTTTGGCTTTGCCCATCCACTGCTGGTCAGGACCACAAAACCCTTGGCCTGATTCTCCAACAGGGGGTTGGGAATGAGGGCTCCGGCACACCACATGGAGGAGGGCTCTGAGCCCAACACTAGAGGCTTCTCCTTGATGGACGGGCTCAAATAGCGGCCTGCTCTATGCTGCACAGACTGTATCAAAGGCCCCCAGTGATTGGTTGACACTTATTTTACTAATTGAGCAAGCCAAGAAAATTTTCTTTTGGAATAGCTGTATGAAAACTGTAGCTTCTAAAGGAAGGGACATTACTTCTTTGCTCTTCTAGAGAAGGACATAGTTTGGGATTCTGTGAATACTTTCTGTGAGGTTGGCAGCCTTAGCAAATAAGTATACAAGACAGACATCCAGTTACATGTGAAGGTTTATTTTCTAACTGCCTATGCAATTTGTAATTTATTGATAAAAATGAAGATAGGACATTTAGAACATCTCAATAAAGTCCATCAGAATGCAGTACAGAATGTGCCCTGCATACACAACAAGCCTGGCATTCCTAATTCTGGGATTATAGTCAGAGTTACATGGCATTTACATACATATATGACATCTTTGGCTTCTATAAGCATGTATCAAAAATGATGTCCTGCCCGGCTAGTGTTGCTCAGTGGTTGAACGTCGACCTATGAACCAGAAGATCACGGTTCAATTCCCAGTCAGGGCCCAGGCCCAGGTTATGGGCTCAATCCCTAGTGTGGGGTGTGCAGGAGGCAACTGATCAATGATTCTCTCTTATCATTGATGTTTCTACCTCTCCGGCCCTCCCACTTCCTCTCTGAAATCAATAAAAATATATTTTAAAAAATGACGTCCTTATCTTACACAATCAATTCTTGTAATTTTATTAGGAATTACCCATCACTTCTAATCAAGAGCTTTTTCTTGGTCATCCATGTTTATACACCAGCAACATAGCAATTGGAAAAAAATATTCCTGTCCCCAGTTTTTGGGCATCTACTGTAAACGTCCAAGGATTATGATTTTGGATTGATTATTTGGAACCCACAGGATTATCTGACTTGATGGAATGGACAGCCAGGATGGAACAGCCAACCCCCACAGATCAAGCTGAGAGGACACCAAGTCCCCCAGGAGACGGACAGAGGATGAGAACGAAGGGAAAGGGAAATGGCTGAAGCTTTATTTCTGCCTCATGCCAGTCAGCATTTAGTGGAAAAACTTTTCGGGGGAAATTGGACTTAATCCGTCAGTGTTTCTGAAAGACTGGGAAAACTGGTCCTCCTGGGAAGCCAGAGGATATAATGACAGTCAGTTGTAATGTAAGATGAGTGGCCTAGCTTTGCCTGCAAAGAAGTTCTAGTCCGCTGGGAGAAGGGCTTATGTGAGAGGTGCTCAGTCAGCCCCTAGCTTTCAATTTTTATACTTTTCTCAGTGCCTTCCTTACTGGAAAAGTGAAGATTTTGTTTTAGATTCTTTAAAAAAATCAGAACAACATAACAACAAGAAAAACAGTTTACTGACAAATACCAATGCCTCAAGAAGGTAACTCTTTTGTTCTTTAAAATCTCAATTAGGTTCTCACATATCATTTCATTGCACATTCTAACTGTGCAGACTCTCGGCTCTGCTCCTAGGCCCTTCAGGCTGAGAACCACCACCCATCACTCACTGCGGCCCCAGGCCAGAGGTTTGGTTGATTGGCAGGTCATTCTGATTAAAGATAAACTGAAACTCACAAAGGGCAACATGTGCGCAGTTAATCCATTAGAAGTGAAATGTTAAGCTTTGGACCTTCAAGTGTACATCTTCCCAGGGGAAGAACATCAGTTGTGCCTAGGACCTACCCAGGGTCAAGTGCGGGAAGTTGGGTGCGCACTCAGAGCTTGGAAACCAAGACTGCAAATGTTGATGCCTCTCACTAAGGAGGCCCGTCCCACGGCGCTATGGTGAGATAACCTGGATTCAAAACTAGTTGTTTCAAAGAAGAGTGGCGATTGAGAGACTGGAAGTCTCCCTTATGTCATGTGATCAAATGTCTTAGACCATGGTGACAAGGTAGTGAATGAAGGCCGAGGATGAGATGATCCTTACTGAGCTACCAGAGCAAAGGCCCTGTGCCTTCTTTGCCTTGCTTTTCTATTTCCTCCTTCCTCCAGGTGATATAAGAGGACTGAGGATCTAAGCAAGGGAGAAAGGATCATCCTGTAATAGAAGCGTCACATGTCTCTACACCTTACTTTACATTTCAGTGATAGCGAAATCACAGTCAATTAAAAATTGAAAATTTAACTCAGTGGGTTGTGTAAATGCATCTAAACATCTGGTCCACTCACTGATGGCATCTCCTCACTTTGAATCAGCTCTTTCAATTTCTGGTCTCCTCTCTGAGCTGTAACATCCCCATGAGTGGGGTAGGGCCCCAACGGCGGTCCACTGTGAGTGCCAATGAATGAAACTTTGCTATGCTTCTCGGACCACTGGCTGCTGGGTACCACGTAAGTATAACACATCTTATTTCTGAAATAAGACATGGATTTGTGATTTCTCTGATGGAACACGGCATTTTTTGAATGGTCTCACTGAGTAGGCCTGGTGCATTGGAAATCCTTCAAAGCGCAAAAGACTTTTTGGGTCAAAAACACTCCATTAGTTTGACTTCTTCTTAGTTGGAGGGCCAAGCATGCATCTCTTTCAGTCAGAAGACTGTTCACATAGAATCAGTTGGCCATCCGAATCCTTTTCTGTTAAAAGGACATTTGAAATCTGGTAACATCAAGAGATGACCACATCACCATTTCACCAACAATCTAAATCCCACCACTTTCCCCATTTCCTCCAAGTCCCAGTGTTCCCCATCTTAGAGAACAAAATTTTAACTGCAAATGTCTTTGCAAATGTTGCATGTCAACATTAGAGTGTTTTGTAGAAAGTAATAATAAATATTACTGGAAAATGCTAAGTTTCAAACCAGCCACGACTTTAGACCTACGTATGAAAAACTACACTGTAATATCACTTATTGACTTCCACGAGTATCCGCTTTTAAGACACTGCATATTTATTTTGCATATAGTGCGAAAGATCAGATGATCAAGTGTTTCACATTTGGCTGAAGTAGATTGCTAAGTGAACATAAAAGAGATTCTTCGATCTTGTGCTACATCATTGTACCATATACAATATAAGCAGGTAAGATTCCTAACCTTGATCACATTCCAAGTGACATTGATGGCAATACTGTGAGAAGAATGTACTTGTGCAACGGAAAATCTGTAAACATGCCCCTGGGATTATTCTTCTGCCAATTAGACCACAATATACAATAAAAAATCACAACTAAAAGGGGTCATATCTAACTACATGTAATGTTTTTAAGATCGAAGACAATCTGCCATAAAATTATAACAGAAACAGAAGAAAACTTCCTGAATAATAAGACAAAAGCTCTTGTGCATTGAGATTGTTCTTTGAACCTTTACGACTTTGCCCCCATTATTCTGGCCCTGCGTTCGATGGGCTGCTCCAGGTCAGTGGCGTCAGGCACATTTTCTGTTAAAGGACATTTGAAATCTGGTAACATCAAGAGAAGACCACATCACCATTTCACCGACAATCTGAATCCCACCACTTTCCCCATTTCCTCCAAGTCCCAGTGCTCCCCATCTTAGAGAACAAAATTTTAACTGCAAATGTCTTTCATTGATAATTTCCACCATCATGCTTCAAGAGCTAGGGTGTGCATCCCTGTGTGTGTGTGTGTGTGCGCGTGCGCACGTGTGTGGTGTATTGCGTGCATGTGTGTACTTAGCGTGAATGAGGCGACCATTACTTGCAAGAGTTTGATTTTGCTCTTGGACTATCAGTGACCCTTCCACTGTGGACAAGGTGTTTTACTAGCTCAGGAAAGAAGTGGCTGAAAGGAAGCTTGGCGCACCATGAAGAACCTAAGGAAGGATAGATCTGGAGGCCACGTGGACAGGGGACCCTCACTGTCCCTCAGCTTCCGAGGTTACTCTGAATGCACTGCCCAGAGAGGAGCTTTTCAAACTCAAGTGTGCGTGAGTCCCATGGGGTGCGGTGACCATACTGACTCTGGTTCTCTAAGTGGGGCAGGGCCTGGGCCTCTATGTGGCTAATGAGTTCTCAAGGGGCTGATGCTGCCAGCCGGGGAGCCACATGTTGAATAGGAAGGGGCTAGTACATTCCAGCAAAAAGTAGTGCGGACAACAGCCTCAGTTCCATCCGTACATGTTTTCACAACTGTTAATTCCTGATGGACCAATTTCACGCTGCACAATTAAATCCACTGGGAAAAGGCAGAAATGGAATTATTATATTTTGTGAGTACAGACTCCCCCTGCTCTATTTGTTGTATTAACAGATAGCCTCCAGAACATATACCATTTTCTTTGCTCGAAAAGAGTTTAAACCATGGTGTGAGTGAACACTGAACCACATTTCAAGGCCACAATGCCTTTGATATTGGATTGCATAAATACCTTATATTACAGCTGATAGCCATATAGAGAAATGCCTTCCCTTCACTCTCAGTATGCTGACTGTCTGTCCATCCTGCAGGACATGTTTGCAATTGCCCTACCAAGTCCTGCCAAATGTAGCCCCATCTTAGAAAATCTGAACTTTAGGAGTTTGCTTCAGACAAAGCATTTAAACAAGGAACCTTCTTGAAGGTGGAGATTCTTGTTGAGCCACCAGATCAAAGGAGAAGATGGATTTCGCACATCTGTGCAGTGTTTCTAGAAATGCATCCACACATTTTTGTTCGAAGGAGCTTGGATGTGGAAATGGCCACAGAGTCAACTGAGGCCAGGGCACCGCCATCAGACATTGCTCTGCTGTAACAGGAGAGTCCGCAGTTCTCTCTCCCGCTGGTCCTCCTGCCGGTACTTCTCCTCCAGTTTCTGCTTCTCCGAATCCGCGCAGTAAAACGTGCAATCAGAACTCTTCCGGATCTGCTCGAACTGACTGAAGTCAGCCACGTACTTGCCGTTCTTGGAGAGAGAAACCACGGGCACGAACTCAAAACCCCAGTAGATCTCCTCTGGGATGTAAGACGTGCGGCTCTGGCAGACGGCGCTGGTGGACTCCACGGTGGCATTGAGGAGCACCACGAGCTCAAAGTCCTTCTCCTTCAGGTTCTGGGGTGTGAGATCTCTCAGGGGGCTGGTCTCATCCAGCACGTGGTAGAAGGTCAAGGGCAAAATGAGGAAGGGGCTCTCGGAAGAGGAGTCCACGTGGAATTTGACGGATGCCTGGTTGAGGAGGATCCGCTCGCCCTCCTTGGTGACGTGGGTCTGCAGGAGCTTGCCAGAGAGCTGGCACTGGATCAGGAGGCTCTTGCGCATGTTGGCCACCTGGATCACCAGGCACAGCTTCCCGTTCTGCTTGGTGATGACCGCGCAGTGGCTGAACTTGATGGTCTCCGCCCGCTTCTTGGGTCTGGCGATTTTGGCCAGGAAGGTGCCCGTGATGAAGATCTCAATCAAGGTGGTGATGACCAGCTGAGCGACCAGCAGGAAGATGGCGTGAGGGCACTCCTCCGTGATGGAGCGGACGCCGTAGCCGATGGTGGTCTGGGACTCCAGGGAGAAGAGAAACGCCCCCGTGAGGGAGTCCACCTTCATGATGCAGGGCGTGTGGTTAGAAATGGGCTCGCCGGGTTCTAGGTCCCCGTGAATGAACGCGATGGCATAGTAGATCACCCCGAAAAGGAACCAGGTCATGACGAACGTGGCCGCGAACAAGGTGAGTTTGTATCTCCACTTCATGTCGATCACGGTCGTCCACAGGTCTTGAAGGTAGAGTAAGTATATGCCATCCACCTTGTCGATTCTCACGTTGCTGTGCCCGCTCTTGGACATGACGCGGGGCCTGTCCGAGTGCCTCACCAGGGGCGCACTGGACATGCTGAGGTGCACTGGGTCCATGCTCAGCCTCTTGGGACCACCTGAGGAAGCGACAAAGAGACACTTTATCACGGTCACAGTGGCAGACTGCCCGGAAGGTGGAACCAGGGTAAACATGTGACATGAGTATGAAAGCATGTGGATGGGCAGAAGGAAGGAGACTTCTGCAGGCAAGACTAACCCACTTGGACTTGAGGAAGGCAGTGGGGGAGGTGAGGAGCCCTGGAGATAAGGAAACCTGAGTTAAAAGCGGACTCTCCCAGTTATCCGCTGTGTGAGCTGGGACAAGCTACTAACCTCTCTGGACCTCAGCTCTCTGATCTGTAAAATGAGAATGAAGCCTAGTCTTTAGGGTTTTGTGATGGTTAAATGAGATAGTGCTATAAAGAACCCAAACTGAGCCCCCCCGGCCGCCCCGTTTAAAATACGATGCTAATTGTTCCTTTGCAATACCATACGTGCATGCATCTACCCCACAGAGTGTTAGGAATGCTTATGTATATCCAGCTACCATAATATCCAATTGTAGAGAATTTAAAAATAAGTTGACTAAGCATAGGGTCAGTATAGATATAACTAAAATTTACCATCCACAGATAGTTCTTGATAAGCGATGGAGAATACGAATACACATTTTTAAAACTTGTAATAAAAATATTTAAAACTTACCCCTTTGCATGATATTCCCTATAATAGCCATTTATTCCCACCCCTTCCCCCCGAGTCTAATGAATACTTTAGAACCCATGACCTCCCCTAGTCTTGATTACATCGGAAAAGACTAAGTTATCACCAACCCCAAACAAACACGTAGTGAATAATTAAGCTTGACAAATAGCTTAATCGATATGCTGGTTAATCTTAGCAGTGCTATCAATATACCGTGTCAGGTACGGCACACACATTCTGCCTTACTTCTTCAGAACTAAGCAGAACCAGCGCAGGGATGCACTTTAAAGAGTTAAAGAACAAGAAAACATGCGCAGGATGGAACCGTGGGGCCAGCAGACCTACCAGGAAGAAAACTGGGCTCCCACGCTGCTGGCTGGTTCACAGACAGGGACACGCTGGGTGTGAGGCCACCAGCATCTTATAGTACCTGCCTGGTGACTGAGGTGAGTCACCCCTACATTCCTTGAAAAGATAATGAGAGTGATTAGGGGGAACTCTACCTGGTCGGCATGTTTATTTTTCCCACCCCAAATGGCATTTTTAAAAAAATTCTAAAAATCCCCGTGATAAAAAGGAACTGGTATGCAGCGGTCTGTGATTCATGCAATAATCTTGCTTTAGAGCAGCAGGAAGGACCTCAATAGGGGGTTTGAAAATAATCCTCCTCAAATCCCTCCAAGGAAAGTGAAACTGTATCCATCCCAGGCGGACACGTGGGGATGCAGGGGACTGCGGGCTCTTAATGTTCCTGTTCCTTTAGCGAGAGGGTGTCATTTACTGAATGTCCCCTGGAATGATCTTTCTTTTTTCTTGGAAAGGAAAGTCATTTTCTCTTTTTTCCATTGCAAAGAAGGGCATGAGCTACTCAGACGTTATTTTACCCACCGAAGTCTATTCCACTTATTGGGGATCCGTTTAAAAGAAACACACAAGGTCTAATGGGCGAGCCTGGGTCTAGGGGCCCGCCAGCCACACGTCTCCGTGGCCACTGGGAATAGGACCAGGGGGAACGTTCAGAATCGAGGCCGTGCTGGGTGCCCAAGTACACAGTCAAGCTCAGAACTCCCGCTTCCCAGAGACAAGTAACTGCATGCACTTAAAAAAAAAAAAACCTGCCCGGGAAAGTGCATGCCATCCCAGACACTGCAATCAAAACGGAGGCTGCAGTTTTGGAGCGTGAGTGATACACAGGGTCCTGCGGGCACAAGCAGCTACTGGAAAAGTTGGCTGGGTGTGTGAAAGCTGTGCTGCAAAGCTCCTGCCTTAACCTCTCCCACAGGGGCAGCGGGCCAGCCTGGGAAGAGCTGCATCTGCTTCCTCCGCCCGCTTCCTGCAGGCCTGGGTCAGCGATCATGACCCCAGCAGCGCCTCCTAGCAGAGCCGGGGAGCGTGGCCTGGGGAGGAAGACCCGGAGCCTCTGGTCTTGGCTTTAGCATCTCTCTGTGGAAAAGAGCAGCTGGTGGACAGCACTCAAAGGGAGGCGCCTTCTGCCTCCCTCGCTGCACCCCCAGCCCCCAGCGCTGCTTGCTGCCTGGTCACTTACTCAGCAGGTCAGAAGCCGTCTTCTTCAAGGCGGGCGCACCGTCCTGGCTCCCCTTCGCCCACCTGGCTACCATGGGGTGCTGCTCCTGCCTGGAAGAGAGAGGGACACGTGGGGTTCACAGGTGTTTACAAAGAAACTGACCCTTAACAACCCCCCTCCCCCCTTCTCCCTCCCCAAGGGCTGGGGCCTAGGATTCATCTCCAACCCCTGGCCGTCTAGCATAGTGCCAGGGCACAGGCTCAGGAGTGTTTAAGGATTAAAGTGCAGCCCCAAGCCCAGCCCTCAGGAGGGCATTCTCACCCTCCGGAGGGAGTTCCACCGTAAAGCCCCCTGGAAAGAGGGTGAACTGGCCCCCATTGAGGCCCACTGTCCACTGGCCCCGCGGGCAGGAGGCAGGAAGGGGAAGTGCGGAGGAAGTAAACACTGCGGACTGAAGGGAAGAGTCTAGAATATTTTTACCGCCTGTGGAAACGCATTCTTATTGTTGAGTCACAGGCCATCAGAGTTGAAAGGACTGTCAAAACCTAGGCATCTGACACCCATTTTGCAAGCGAGGTGGCTGAGACCTGGGAGGTGGGACACACCCGCCTTCCTCACACAGATGGTTCACGGCAGGAACAATGAGGCCAGAGTTCTTAAGCCTCAGCCGCCAGTGTTGAATGTGATCGGTTTCAATTCAACAGGTTCTGTTACCTCCTGCTTTTCTGAAATGCCTCTCCCTGAGCCACACACACACACACACACACACACACACACACACTCGCACACACTTCTTAGCCGTCTTACACAAAGAAAGGTACATGCACTTCATGCTTCATTTCTAATCCACCAATGATTGTAAATTGCAATAGTTGCTCTTTTATCATTAAGAGGTCCCAGCTACTAACCTGTGTAGCCTCTTCTACCCACAGCTCTCCCGGGTGTTTGTGAGTTTGGCAAATGACCTCTTTCTCTGTCATCCCTCTGTGGGGATCCAGCAGCAACCTCACTCGCCTGCTTTATCACTTACACTTTATCAGATGCTTTTTTTTAAAAGAAAAAATAGGCCCTAACCGGTTTGGCTCAGTGGTAAGAGCGTCAGCCTGCAGACTGAAAGGTCCCAGGTTCAATTCCGGCCAAGGGCATGTACCTTAGCTGCAGGCACATCCCCAGTATGAGGTGTGCAAGAGGCAGCTGTTTGATGTTTCTAACTCTCTATCCCTCTCTCTTCCTCTCTGTAAAAAATCAATAAAATATATTTTTTTAAAAAAATATTTTTATTGATTTCAGAGAGGAAGGAAGAGGGAGAGATAGAAACAGCTGCCTCCTGCATGCCCCTTGCTGGGAATCGAGCCTGCAACCCAGGCACGTGTCCTGACGGGGAATCAAGCTGTGACCTCCTGGTTCAAAGGTCAACGCTCAACCACTGAGCCATGCCAGCGGGCATCATATGCTCTTAATTTACAGTATTTTATTCTTTCTCAGGAGGAGGGACCTGAAGCACAGGCAGGCTAAGTGAATCGCCCAAATTCTCTGCAGCTGGCAGCGCCCTCGGAGGCACCTGCGCCCATCCTGACCACTACCTGACACAGGTGCTCAAGCTTAGCGGCCTCAGAACCGCTTGCAAGGCTCGGAGTTTCTGTAAGTCTGGGTGGAGCCCAAGAATTTGCATGTCTGACACATGGCTCCGGGAACACAGGTGGAGAACCTCCAGGCCGTGACATACAGGTTAAGTGCTACCCTCCGCTCCCCCACCCCCACCGCCTCTTGGCATTCTCAGATAAGACTATCGCACACAGGCAAGGCACGCACCTGTTGATTAGTTTCCAGAATGTCCAATCTATACCATCTTTCTAGGTGAATGCCAGCTACTCAGTGGACCAGTGCTAGGTATTAACTTTTTAGAGTATTAATGTGTGTTTTTTTTCCTAGTTAGTGCAACACTGAGACCTTCTAAAAACCTAGAGCCCTGTTGAGTCCAAGTTTGGAAGTTTTCCACTTGCCCGTGCTGGAAAAACTTCTGTGTTCTGGTGGGGGGCCCAACAAGGCCTTTGATCCTGCAGAAACATGACCAAATGAAAGTTGGGGAGGCAGCAGGTTCCCAAATCTGGACTTTCTCCCACCTCAGGGAGTCCTTCTCTGTCCCTTCAGTGAGGTGGTGGGTATGGAGGGGTGAACCCCAGCTCGAACTGTAACTTTGGCTTTAATCAGAATTTGATGGGAATTTGACTTTAAAGCTTTAGCAAAACAGCTTCCTGTTTATAAGAAAAATTGCTCAAAAGCTCAAAAAACTTTCTTGGATGTTGAATATTATTGACAAAACAATTTTTTGGTGATCTCTTTCTTTTTCCTTTTTTTTTTTTTTTTTTTTTTGCTATGAATCCAAAATACCTGGATTACATTTCGCTTTAAAAGCACACAGGTTTAAATATTAAGTAGGCAAAGAAATGCTTGACAGGGGGCTCACTGGACTCAGAAGGTTTAAAAATAATTGGCAATAAAATCAGTGAGGCTTAGCTATCCTCCCTTTGGATCCTGGGACCGTGGCCGCACGGCACACGGGACCTCTGGCACTGGCCTCCTGCCACGGTCCCTGCTCCTCCCCGCCGTCCAGGACACGCTTCAGTGGCTGGTCTGACTGTTCTGAGTCCACTTCTTGATTCCGCCCACCTCCGCCGAGGATACAGATGGCTGTGCCCAGGTGGCCTTGGACATGCACATACTCAGTAAGAAAGGATGAGGTGGCCCAAAGTTGACTCTCAGCGGATTCCCAAGGGCGGCCTCTGATCCTTGTCTGCAGGGAAATGACTCTCTCCTCCTGGAGCCCCATTCCCTCCCTCGGGGCCCAGAGGACTGGGGATGGCCGGCCGGAAGGGTGGCAGCTCCTGGGCGGCTGGGGAATCGGCCATGGTTCCTCAGAGAATCACACTGCCATTGGGGGAAGAACTAGCTGAGATTATGGCACATTCACGACCCCATTTCCTCTGTCCTAATGACCTTGGTCTTGAAGATATGAATTGGGATCTAACCCGCAGAGCTGCGGTCATTGCTGTCATTGCTCTTTGTTTGTGGCTGCCAGTTATTGGCCACCAGCATTTGTCCATAGAATCCCTCCCTGGGCCTTTTCCCTGCAGGGGAGTGTGTTTTTACCCATGTGTCCCATGTGGGAATGTGACCACTTTGGTCAATGGAGTGTGAGGCGGGGTGACTGGGGCCACACCTGGACAGAGGGACGTAGCACGGTCTTGGATGAGGCTCGGGTTGGACTGTACCTTCTATGGGGACCAGCAGGAGGGGACACTTGGAGCCAAACTATAGCTGAACCAAAGCTGACTCGTAAGATGGTGAGAAAAACTTCTGTTGCCATGAGCCATTGAATTCTTGGAATTGTCACCGAGACAAAACCCAGTGAATGCCTGACCACAGACACCCTTCCTACAGATTTTGTGCTGTAGGGTGATGGGCTTGACCTACAAGGTGCTGTGCTTAAAGAAACATGTAAAGCCATCGGCTATCCTTAATGTAAACTCTAAATCTCGGTCTGTGACAAAACATGGAATAGAAAAAATCCAAATAACAAGATTCCAACTGGAAGATGGAGAATGGAGGAAAGGAGTGAAAAGTTGAATACCTTTTCTCATTAAATACTTCTCAATCAGTATTTAAATGTATCTGTATCTTGACCAGACAACTTTTCAGGTCAAGGAATAGGGCCTTAGATACCATGACTCGAATGTTCTGTGGAGCAGGAAGCCCTTGGTTGGGGACGTGGTGGCCTGGTGGTCTGTGAGGACAGACACACTGGGCGGTGTGGGGGCCATCATCATTAGGTCGCTGCTGGCTTTTGCTGAGAAGGGGGCAACAGATACTTCTCAAAGAAGCTTCAGACAGTGTTCTAGCTAACCCTCCTCTCTACCTGGAAACAGTATTTTCTCAATGTTCTAAATGAGGACGCTAAGCTTAGATTAAATAATTCGAACTCGTTCATAAAGTTAATCCATGGAGGGCCATGTTGGCAAACCAGATCTGCCTGTCTCCACAGCTATGCTCCCATCTACCCACTCACAGAGTCCTCAGATTCACTCACAGAGGTCACCTCTTCGCACATGAACTGCAACACAGTGTACTTTCATTCCCACTCATTCTGAGTTAGTATCTGTTCTAGACAAAGAGCTGTGATTGATTGGTTGCTCATCCTGTGCCCGTTCTTACAGAGGCGCCATGTAGTGATTGAGTTCTCATGTCACTTCTGAAAGACGGACTGCGATCATTCCTCTATTCCAGGTGAGGCAACTGGTGTAGAGCACAGGGTCTGGGCCTGAGTCCATCCTCTTCACCCCTGCACCCCTGGTTCTCCAAGTTCAGAAGCATTCGGATGACCTGGAGGTCTTGACCCACACTTGGCCGGGCACCACCATGAGTTTGTGACCCAGCAGGTCTAGAGAGGGGCCTGAGATCTGCATTTCTAATAAGTCCCTGGAGCTCCCCAGTTCTGAGACTGCACTGTGAGAGTAGGAGCTACACTTTCCGCCGCTCAATGAATTATGTAGACGGCATGGGAAAGTCACAAGCACATACACTGGGTTGTCTGCAAGTTCAGACTCACTACCTTGAAACAAAGGAGCAGAAACAGAAAGTCCATGGGATGAAATAAACAAATATGGTAGCTGCTGGGCGGAGTCTTGGGGGAGCCAGGAGAAGTGCCCCAGTAGACAGAAGTTCAGGCACACTGGCTTATTCTAGGATGGTGGGTACCATCCCAGAGAACATGGGAGGCCTGAGGAGGGAGCCTGGATTCTGGGGCCATGAGAGCTGCAGCCAGGAGGACCTTAGCCGGCCTCCTGCTCAGCCTCCTCCTGTGCGTGGTGATTACAGGTGTTCCCAAAGGAAGTGAGGTGGTCAGATGACCCGGACACTTTACCTACCAAACCTCTAACCACCCCACTGTCTGCACCCATTGGAGAGTCATACCACGTGTTTGTACAGTACAGGCTCTGAGAAGTCCTGCAGCAAAGACACCTGCCTAACTGGCGTTTATCTGACATTTCCAGGACTTTGAAGAGTTCCAATCTGGTCTAAACTGTACTTTATGTCTGGGGGGAAGGAGGAG